CAGAATAAACCTGTCCTCTTTTAAGTTGTGGGTGTCAGGTATGATGTTCCAGCAACAAGAAAGTGATGAAGACAAGGAGCAAGGGAGGAAGGGAGAGAGGAAGGGAAAGAAGGAAGAATGGGAGGGAGGACAGAATCGCTGTCTGGGGCCTTGTGCTGCCGTTATTTGTAAGGTAATGAGTCTGTTGGTTTTGGTTTGTTTTTTCTTTTTTGTTTTTGTTTTTTCTTTTTTGGTATGAGGAATCAAATTCAGGACCTTCTGCCCGCTGGGAAGGTGCTGTGCCACTGAGCTACATCCCCAACCCCAGCCTGTCTGGTTTCCTCTGCAAATAGAGTAGTAGGTAGTAAAAAGCCAGGTCACTTTAAGTCAGGCCTTTATGTGTTTGAAAAAGATCAACCAGAGGTAAGGTTTTGTTCATTTTTGATTGATACCTAGAGTAGAGGAGACCTTTATGGGAAATTTTGCATGAATTCATGGCATCCCAATTGGCTCCAGGAAAGACTTCTACATGGCAAAAGTAGAGTTAGGAGAATGGGTTTTGCTCTAAGGTTTTGCACAAAGCTTTACCCTTTATTCATCAGGGTGAGCTAGTGGGTACACATAAATGTTTAAGGAAGCAGAGAAATCCAGCCCCAAAGAGCTCCTAAAGACCTATGAAGGCCATGATCACACCGTGGCCTCTTTTAGAGACAGCAGTCCTGCTGAGGAAGCGCGCAGAGTGCGGGGGACTCCATGTGTACCTGGAGAAAATGACTGTGAAGCGGGCTTGCAGGTGGAGAGACAATCTCTGTCTGAATGTGCGGCTGCAAAGATGTAAATTCCCCCCGCCTGGGGCTTGCAAGAAATCAGGTCAGGACCAGAAGTCGTTGTGAGACTGGTCTGAAAGACGCATAATGAACTTACCCTTTCCTAGGGAGACAGGACATTTGTGTCTGATTTTTCTTAAGGTATGCAAAATAGGTGGCTTTCCCTAGAGCCTCCAATCACAAGACAAGACAGAAAGAGGCAAAGGATGCTGAGTGGATGCCAGAGGCCACAGCGGGAGTCGGAGCACAAAGCTTTGATCAGAAAGATTAGAGTGGAAGCAAAATACCTCCTAGGTGGCTTAGGAGCACACATTCTGGAGCCCTATGATCTCAGTGTGAATGCTATCTTTGCTAGTTGGTAGCTGTGTGACCTTGGGCAAGTTACTTAACTTTTCTGAGCCTTGGTCTCCTCAACTGTACAGTCTAGACTGGGCTGTTATAGTAAAACATTGCGGAACAGGGTCTCACACGCGACAAGAACAAGTGAAATCACACATCTGACCTGGACTTCTGGTTACTCATGGTGCCCGGATGCCTGGCATGGACCTGGTGGCATGAACAACCACCCTTCATTATGCTGATGCATTCCATGGATCAAGATGCGTCCAGCACACAAGGCTTGTCTTTGCTCCATAATGTCTGGAGCCTCAGCCAGGAAGTCCCAGAAGCCTGGCGGGGACGAAGGTGGCGGGGGCTCTGTCATTTCACACCTGGCCTGTCTGGGGCTCGAGGGCAGCGAACACTGCAGGCTGGAACCCGCTGTACCAGCCTCCCTCCGGGCTCTGAGTCTGTGTGTCGTGGCAGCTTGGCTGTGAGAGGGGGTCCTAAGAACAAGTCAGGGATGAGAGCCCAGCCCCTGGCAGCCTGGCCTGCACATCCCAGAGCACGACCCCCACAGCATGCTGGGGTTTAAGCTGTCCCAAGTCAGCTGGGATCCCCAGAGAAAAGACATAGACCCACTCTCACCCTGCTCACTCTCTGAGAAGTGCTGCTCTGGGGCTTATCCCGGGTTAACTTGCTTTTGCAGTGCTAGGGATTAAGCTCAGGACCTTCACACTGAGGTAACCCCCAGCCCATTTTTTAGTGTTTATTTTGAGACAGGGCTTCATTAAGTTGCTAAGTTGCCCAGGCTGAGCTTGAACTTGCAATCCTCCTGCCTCAGCCTCCTAGAATGCTGGGATCGCAGGCGTGCACCATCACACCCTGCTCCAGGTTGACATTTTGCCCCTGTTTGCTGAAGGGCCATGCTGCAGGACTTTGCAGTGACTTCCAAAGCCCACCAAGCCGGGATCAGAGCCCCATCCTCTGCCCACGTCAGCTACAAACACACAGTTACCTGGACGCAGTGCCGCACTGCTATTCTTAGCACACGGAGGTTGCCTGTGCTCCACTGTTTTAATTACAGGCTGTTATTTCATCTAAAAAAAAAATCAGTACAGGATTAAGGGCACTGTCATTTTAAAAGCCAAACTCCTGGCCTAAATCTCATCCGTGAATCAGAGGACAAATGTTCCCATTGTGCTGGTTAAAAATAGGAGCAATGGAAAAAGTGACAGAATGAGATGAATGCCATTAAAGTGTAATTACATTTACTGTAAATGGGAGCCTTGGGAAGGATCTATTCTCGGCAGGGACACTCAATCGGAGCCCGTGACATGGAAAACCCAATGCATCCACTGCCGATGCTTCTGCACTGTGAATTCTCAGAGCTGGGACAGATTGCTCCGGGTGTCCACTGGCTTTATTTCAGGTATTTGAAAAAAAAAGTGTCACTCCAAAGGAAAATGAGGACCGCACACCTCACCCTGAATCTCAGATGGGGCTTCTCTCTGGCTGTCATGAGACAGTATCACCCAGGGTCCCTGCGGGCAGCCTCGGCCACCAAGTATGGTAGCTGGGTTGACATATAGGAAAGGTAGGGATTCTTTTCTTTTAATGAAAATAGCTTGTGCACTTCTAATTTTAAAACAGCACATTCTTGTCATGTAAATGTCTAAAAAGAAATACAAAAAGGTCATCATGGTCCTAAATCCAGCCACCAGCAGATCAAGCAATAGCATTTTGGTGAGCACCTTTTCAAACAGCAGTCTTCATGTGGGTTTAGAGATAATGCTAACATTTTTGCTGCTGCTCAAGCTGCTAATAAAATGTAGAGTTACATCATTATGCCTCAGACCCAAGGTAAACTAGTAGTAGGGGACCCCTATGCTATTATTTAATCAGGTAAACTTTTGGCTTCTAACTAAAAATGACTCTTAGTTTATAGAAAACAAATTATTACACACACACACACACACACACACACACACCAGGCTTTGGTGAACACATTGCAATTTGACAACCTTGGTCGCTTGCCTTCTTAGACTAGATCCCTGGAAGTGAGGTTGCAGGTTAAGAGATAAATGCATTTCACATTTTTACTAAATAATTATTGTGGCCAAATTTCCTTCTGGAAATGTATGACTTCAACACTCCCATGGACCCCTTTGTCAGCATTAAGTATCAGAAATCTTTAATTCTTTGCCCTTTCAGCACACAAGTTGAATTTAATTTTCGTGTTACAGATCTTATGCAGGGTTTTGTGCATGCTAGGCAAGCACTATACCCATGGGTTGTACTCCCAGCCCTGATTTTTATGTCTTTTGAAGAATTACATGTTCTTTGGCTATATTTTCATTCCTTTATTTTTATTGGTTTATAACTGTTCTTTATATGTTAAGGATACCGTCACTGTGCCATGTACTTACTGTTATTTTTATCAGGGTGTCTTTGTTTTGAACTAGTTTGCTTTTATTGTGTTCATTTTATTTTTGCTATATAAAAGTGTTACAGCGTTAAATGCTTCTGTGTTTTCCTCTACAGCTTCTGGTAATACTCAAGGTATGATGATTGGGATTAAAGATTTTTTAAAAATGTTTTTGGTGGTGCAAAAGCATACCCGTAGGACTGTGCTGCCTTTCATTACAGTGGTCAGAGATATTTGGGGCTGTATTATAAAATGGCCTTTGTGTTAGAAGACTTGGCCCAACTGTAGGCGCAGGTAACAGTTCCGCTCACACTGAAGGTAGGCGAGGCTGTGATGCTCCATAGGTTAATTTCCAACTGATAACGGGTTTATCAAGACATCACTATAGCATCAGTCAAAGAGCACCAAGTCATAGCACTTACACAGGCTCGGGTGATAAGCGTCAGGTTTTTTCCTGGTGTTTTAATGTTTTCCATTTGCTTGGTTATAATTTCAATCCGAGAAATCAGCTCCATTTCGCTTCCTGATGGTTTCTTCCAGACAAGGAGATGGCGGGACAAACCATGGGCAGGACTGGGCCCGGAGCACTCACTCTCCCCGGCCCTTTCTCTGCAGACCTAGAAAAATAAAGGGCTCCTGCTTGGCCTCCAGTACAAACTTCCCAGGAATGTTTGCTGAAACTAGGAATAAAGTTGGGGCGACGCCTTGAAGCTAGAAGCGCGGGTCTCCTTACAGGGAACAACAAGCAGGATTTAGGCGATGCTTTCGTGTGGAGGCCGCCTGGATGGCTCTCCCTGAAAGAAGAGTGTGTATCTCCATTTTGGCTGAACCAGGCCCTATTTCCATGTGTTGATGTGTACAGAGCTGACTAGGACTTCTCCTTATCCCTTCAATTAGCTTTAAGCAATGCGAATCGGTCTAGTTCAGGTGCTGATGCATAGCCTTTGAAGCAAAGATGACAGGGCAGTGCTGCCCCACCCCCATAGCTCCCAGAAAACATGTGTGAGCCAGGCAGGGTGGAGAGCTGTGCTCCACGCTGTGGGCTGGGATGGAGCCTCGAGTAAGAAGCTATGACTTCCCAGGGCTTGAAAGATTACACATCAGAGCTGAAGCACCGACCCCAAAACATTACATACTACCTCAGGTGTGTTATGCAGATGACTCTTTCCTCAGATCCTTCTCTCTGCGTATGGCAGAGGTGATTTCAGGCCTCCTACCTAGCCCAGCTCACAGCACTCACCTATGTCCTGCCATTCTCACAGTCACTCATTATCAAGCCGTCCCCTTCACAAATTAATAAAACCCCGGTTCGGCCCTGGGTTGAGGCCCTTGTTCTGCTTGGCCATCCTCCTAGCCGGACTTAAGACCCCCTTGGCTCCCCACCATTTTAGATATATAACTATTTATGCTGTGGATTCACTGGGAGTGGTAGATTGGAATTAACTCGCTAGAATTCCAATAACTGTTCATGGGATTACAAATGTAAACTCCCTGGACGGGCCGAGGACCAGGAAGGGCTCTCTAAAGTTTCGAGTGATCACCTGGTTTCTACTTCTTGGACACTACGCTTCTCTTTGCAGATTCCACGACCTATGGCTGCTAAGTTTCCCCTCCTTCTTCCCAGGATGGCGGGTGAATGCTGTCTTGGGGGCGGCGCTCAGCGGTGGGCGCTTCTGGCCCATACGCTCCTGGAGGGCAGGCCTTGACCTCTCACCTCCGGGTCCGCTATACTCACTGTCCCTGGCACCTAGCTGGGGCTCAGGCCTTTGCTGGAACAGTATTTACTGTTCCTATGGCTGGTAGTTCAGAGTTCGCAAAGGATATTAGTCTCCACTAGGTGTCATGATGAGTCAAGTAACATTTGGAAATCTTGCTTTTACTATATTCATTTTCACGCATGCATTCTATGTCTCACTGGGCACCTGTTGAGGGTCTGCTCGTGCCAAGCCATGCTGGCCCTAGGGTCTCATCTTGGCTGAGTTACCAGGTCTGGAGAGGAAGAAGCTGCAGTGGGTGTGGAGACAGACAGGCCACGAAGGCACAGGACAGAGGGACAGGTTACGCCAGAGGACACAGCCATGGCTCCTCGAGAGAGGCACCTTCTAAGGTGAGCTTGAAAGACAAGGGCAAGAAACAAATTCGGTTCAAACTCTCTCCAAGGGGGTTCAGGACAGGACAGCAGCCTGGAAGCTGGTCAGGATTTGTGTTTTGGTTGAAGACTGAGCTTTAAAATCCACGGGGAGATAGAACTTTTGCAACAGGGAAGGGGACCAAGAGATGAAGGGAGGGGGATGCAGACAGCACAAAAATGTATGCTGTCCGGGCACCGATACCCCACGAGGAGCATAAGCACTGCCTAGTGCAAACAGGGATGCATAAAAATAAAAATATAAAACAAATAAAGAGCCAAAGAGTAGTAAAAAACCTACATGGCAAAAATAAATTGTCAGGAAGCCTTGGGAGACATTTGTATGTCTTTTCAAGAATTCTTATTCTTACAGCTTTATTGAAGCCTCTCTTTTTATTGATATGCAACTATTCTTTGCATATGAAGGACACTAGCACTTTGTCATGTTTTACACTTTTTCTTTGTTTTGAACTTGTTTTTGTTTTGTTTTATTTTTGTAAGTTTCTTTACTCGCCTAAGCAAGAAACCTTTACTTTTTTTCTATAACTGTACAATATTAACACTAACCTTGGCATTGACTGCACTTTGAAGTTTAGATTCCTAGGTTTTCAGACCACCTCTAAGAATACGAGTTTACCTCCCTGGGCCCTGGCCATGTGGGAATGCTGGGTTTGGAGCGGGCCTGAGTTGGTCTATGCAGGGAGGAGCCTGGAGGCCAGTGCTGACCTAGACCACCATCCTGGACATGTGCTGAGACCAGGTAACCTTTCATGGGGCTCACCTGGGGGCCTGGCCAGGCCAGGGCTGGATACTGTGAAACACGGAAGCAAGGAATAGCTCAGTGGCACAGAAGGCCTTGGGCTTGGGCTTGGGCCTGATCCTCCCCTGTTCGTGGGAGAGGGGGTCCCCAGAAAGGCCCACCTCCCTCAAGGTACACCACAAGCACCTGAGGCAGCCCCTGCCCAGGAGCCCTGGGTGTCTGAGTTCCTTAGGGGAGACCCCACAGTTTTTCCCAACTGGAACCTGGTTGGTAGCTTTTTAATGTGGTAAAATACACATGACATAAAATCTAACACTGCAGCCTTGTTACGGACTGTATCTGAATGTCCCCCCAAAGCCCCATGCGGTCATGGATCAGGCTTCTAGAGTTATGACTAATTCACTGTCAAATGCTGGGATTATGGGTGTGAGTGCTACACCTGCCCTGGTGCGAATAGTTTGCATACAATGTAAGGGAGGGAAGGAGGCTGCTTGCCACTGCTCCTGCCCTTTCACTCTTGTTGCTTTTGTTGTCTTCCGCAGCCATCCAATGTTGCCCTCTGCCGTGTGTCACTCTGCCTTGGAGCCAACCAAATATGGACTGAAACCTCCACAAACTGTGAGCTAAATAAACCTTTCCCTCCTTAATTTTGGGTGTCGGGTATTTTGTCTCAGCAACGAGAGAAAAGTAACCAAGACAAGCCTTTTAACATAATTCATCACCACTGCCCCTCTCCAGAGCTTTTTCATCTTCTCCAACTGCTCCTCTTTCCCCACTGAACACAACTCCACATCCTCGTCTTCCCAGCCTCTGACAACCGCGCTTCTCGTCTCTGTGGATCTGACGACTCCAAGCATCACCACGCTCTGCTTCACGATTAGATTTCTGCTGAGAAAAGTGCGGGTAGATGATTCAGCATGGTCTGAATGTCACAGAGTGTGCTTTGTGCATTAAATGGCTACAATGTCACTAGGTAATAAGATCTTCTGGGGTCACTGTCCTATATGGTCCACTGTTGCCCAAAGCATCATTATGCAGAGCACCACTCCCTCATATAAGTAGAAACATAGCGTTTGTTCTGTGATTGGCATATTTCACTTAGCAGAATGACTTCAATCATATCCATGTTGTAGCATGTGTTAGAATTTCCTTCCTTTTTTGCAAGGGAGAATAAAATTTTGTTATGTTTATTATACTACACTGAACTTATCCACTGATTCATTGTCTCCTTCTACCTGCTAGCCATTGTGAATAATGCTACTATGAGCACGCATGTAGAAATACCTGTTGAAGTCCCTGTCTTCAGGTCTCTGGGAGATACAGTCAGAGAATACAAAATTGTTGTAGTGTATGATAATTCTGTGGTTAAGTTTTGGGTGGTAGCTGAGGAACTGCCAGACCATTTCCCACTGGAGCCATACTCTACTTCCTTCCTACCAGTAATGTAAAGAGCTCTAACTTACCCACATTCTTGCCAACACTCCTTGTTTTCTCTTATGTATGTAACTATTTCAGAGGCCTTCAGCTTTCAACCATTGCTCCCAGCTGTGAGATCCAAAACTCTGTGGACTACATCTGATCTTTGCTCTTCCAGAAAGCCACACAGGAACTATTGGAAAATGCTCATGAGGTCCGTGGTCTGCTGGAGCCTGGGTGGAGATAGCCCACAGACTCACATGAACCCATAGCTTTTATTCCTGGACACTTTACTTAGAGCTTTGCAAAGTTAGCATGTTACGCCAATGTCCTGGAACATACCGGCCCGTGCAGAGCTGCACCAACTCAGATGCCCAGGCCTTTTAAACTGGAGCTGCTGTGAGACCAGCTAACTCCCAGACCCATCTGATACCATTTGATTCCTCTCCTCTTAATCTAAGTAGTATTTGACACCTGCAGAGATGTATCTGTAACATCATATAAGAAGGGACATAGGGGTAAAATCAAAGCTCGTGAACCTCCACCCACATCAAACGAGAACACTGTCAGTGTGTTTGAAACTCCCCACATGCTCCTCCCTACCCCACCCCAGAAGTAATTGTTCTCCTAAATATGATTTCTCTTTTTGTCTCTTTGGTCACTTAAAAATAGCTCATTAAAATCACTCACTTAGAAAATACCATATGTTTATGTGTAGCTAAATATATCATGCCATTTTGCTTGATTGAGCTCTAAAACTTCTGCAACTTTTTCCTCCCTAAACTTTGTTTCTAAGCTTATCTGTGCGTGTGTGTGTGTGTGTGTGTGTGTGTGTGTGTGTGTGTGTTTGTACCAGGAATCAAACTCAGGACCTTGTGCTTGCCAGGCAGGCACTTATGCCACTGAGCTATACCCCCAGTCATCCATGTTAGTTTTTTTCCGACTCCTCCCAGTGGTTTTGTGTGGCTATCATTCATTTATTTTCTACAGTAGTATTCCTCTAATATGTCTACTGTCATTTGCCCATTTTTTAAAAACTGATGGACATTTCGGCTACTCCTATGTGGGCTTTTGCAAACAGTGCTGCAGCTATGTGCAATCACAACCTTTAGCTCCTGACACCTGGCTCTAAACTCCAAGCTCTCAGAAGATAGATATTTACCATTGACTCAACCTGGAGAGATGACGCCTACATTCACTTTTCAGTTTTCAACAAAAATGAAACCTCTTTTGTAGCAAAGATACCAGATTCAGTACACACTGGGTTTTGTGTAGTGATGTGACTCACTTGGAGGGGTTGAATCCCAGAGCCCCCAGCTGGTCAGGCACAGGGGGGCCAGGCTTCCTCCTCCCCAGAAATTGTTTTACTCAACTCCCTCCCTCACGGGGGTCAAGTTTCCCAAGCGAACTCTTTTTTCAGGAAATTCAGAAAGAAAGAAAAGAATTTCCTCTTGTTTTGCTCGGGGTGATGGGACTTTGAGGTCACCATATGGTCTCGAATCTTCTTTCACCCAAATTGTTTTGTCCTTGTCCACCTAAACAGCTGGGCATCTTCTGTGTAGACCCCGGCCTTCTAGAAATGACCTCCAGGGTGCCCAACCTGAATCTGCATGGCGCTCTGCCTCTCTTCCTGAGTAAGTCGTGTTTATCCTCTGGACCTCCGTTTCCCCACAGCAGAGAAGACCTTAAGATGACCCTTCCAGGGGACCAGCAGCACAGGGACAATGACCACCAGAGGCTCTGGGAAGCCCTGGGCCGAGCAGTTGGGAACACATGTTGCATTTCCAGCCTGCAGCGTCAAGGAACACAGTCCAGCCAACAGGCAAATTCTGCCAACAAGTGTTCCTCCATTAATTGATTTCTTTAACATGAACATTCTCATTACAAAAAGAAGAAAAGCTCTTCAGCCCAAGGACATGTTCAGAGTTGTTGAAAGTGGATGGTGAATGTGAGGCCAGTTGATTACTCATCTTACTTCTTTGTGAATTTGAAATGTTTTCTAACAACAAAATAAATTCGAAGGTATTGGCTCAAAACAAAAGAAAAATTCATCTGAAATTAGCCAGTTCTTTTTATTTATTTTTATATTAAACTCAATAAAAATCAAATCATTTTGCATTTTTACAAAGTTATTTTATACAAATGCTGTTTGCTATAATGATTTCTCTAAATCTAGCCTTATGTGTGTAGGGTGGGGAGCCTCCGGAATGATATTCACAACATATTTCTTGATATATTAGATGGATGCGGTCTAGCACCAAGTTTTCTTCGTTTCTTCTCCCATTACTGAGGAGTTCACAGTTCATCAAGAACTCTCAGAACTTTTTTTGGCTGAATGTGGAAGCTTGGCCATCATGAAATACATATGCAGGGGGCTGGGGTAGAACTCAGCAGGAGAACACGTGTCCGCATTCACAAACAGCACCTCAAGAAAAACAAAAAGCAAAAACAAAAGAGTAGGAATATGGAGAGGGCTTTCAGAGGGCCTCTGCTGCCCATGTTGTCGGAGCAGGACACGCCGCATGCATCTGCGTGCCCCCCGCTGGCAATACTGCAGCATCTGATGCGGATGCTTTGCTGTGCCCCTTTACCATGGCAACGTCTCCGGCAGTCCCTGGTGTGGGAGGACTTGGTGGCTCCGCACTGCCGTTGTCACGACTGAGCCCCTCACTCTGCGAGCGCACATGGGAAGAGCACACCCCAGCCTTTCACTGACTTCAGCCTGCCTGTGCTTCCCTCCACCCCAACAGGGAGGTCCCAGGCTTGAGGCTCACTGGCCAAGGCTTGGCTCCTGTTTAGAAAGTAAGGGGAGCCCTGCAGGTTGGACAAAGGATGCTTGCCTTGGTTCTACCACAGTTTCTAGAGGAGGAGGGCTTGATGAGGCAGGGTAGGTGGCAGGGAGGGGGATTCTGCACTCCACAGGCATTCACCAGGCAACAGGATGCCCGCTGGGGCCTGCAGACTGGCAAAGGCAGACCCTGGCGGAAGCCCGACGGTTGGGAAAGGGGTGGAAAGACATAGCCATGGGAGAGCCAGTGAGTGCCGAGCCCCGGCTCGCCGGACCCTGGGCCCTGGGAGCACCAGAATCAGTTTCCCCAGCTTAGCAGTAGAGAACAAAGGCTCTAAAAGCTGCAGAGACTAGTGCTGCAGTGGGAGTGACCGGTGGGTGGACCTAGGCTCACCCTTCCACGGCAATGGCCTGCTGCTGGCTCTGATGGTCAGGGCTGCCGCCGTTTTTTGCCTACTTCCTTTCAACACATGGTACAGTGTCACCGCGATCAGAGCCCAGCAGCGTCATCCAGTGGCCTGTACCGAGGGGAACAGGTGAGCATGGGCTAACCAGAGCCTTCCCATGTGAGGAAGCTCCCTAGTCCTTAGCTGACCAGGGTCCCTAAGTTTGCAGATACCTTCTAATGGTGTCTCTCAGGATGGACACACCCCAGTGAGGCTTGCACCCCACCCCACACACACCTCCCCTCTCTGTGCCTTCCTGGGTGGCCCAGGCAGCCTGAGCTCACCCCCCACAGGTGCAGCCTCCCACGTGCTCCATCGGGGCCTCTCCCTCACCACCTCAGGTTCACTCTCATCCTCCCGTCCCTCAGGGCTACCGCTGTTTCCTTACTTGCCTTCCTGTTCTGGCTTTGTTCCCCTAGCAATGGATTCTCTGCAGGCAGCAGGGTGAGGTCATAACCTGATCGCAGCACTTGCTCGGGCACTCGGAGCCACCCACCTCTGCTCGCCAGTTCCAGGGCTTTTATCTGGCGGCCTTTCTCCTTGGTGGCCATGCTCAAGCCTTACGCAGTCATCACCTGTGGGCTTCCCCGTCCCTCCCAGCAGGGAGGACCAGGAGGGTCTCTGACCGCACACGGAGCAGACACTCAGCAGGACAGCAAGCAGGACCACAGAGTGGGGCAGGCCCAGCCCACCGGTGGGTCCAGCCTGGTCCCTGGCACCGCGCATGCCATGAGCCCCGGGGTGTTCTGCAGTCCCCCACAGGCTTCTCGGGTCGCATGATGTGGGCTCAGCACATCTCCCCTCTGTGTCCGCTGCTAGAGCAGTCTGTCCTTCCTGTTTCAGTCTTGTCCTTGGGCACAGGGAAGGGAGGAGGGAGGAAACAGGTATTTCTGCTTTGGTCTCCAGTGTCCAAGGAGTACTTTCCATCATCAGAAGATTCCAGGTCTTCAGGAACCGGGCACTTTGGCTTCCTCCATAGAAATGTCCTGAAAATTCTACTGTGTGGTTGCACTGGTGTGAAGATGAATATAATCCAGGCTGGACTCATTATGTTGTATTCGTTATCGTTATGCTCATTTTTTCTTCTGACTTTAAATAAATTAAAGTGAAAATATGTTGGTCCTTATGTCTTGTTGGGCAGTAGTATCTGCGCATTGTCAGATGGATGGAGCTCCGCATCTCCATCCATCCATCCACCCATCCACCCATCCACCCATCCACCCATCCACCCATCCACCCATCCACCCATCCACCCATCCAGCGGTCTTTCCCGGGAGGGGTCAGGTGGGGCCGGTGCCCCCATGGCATCCTGAGCTCAAGGTCAGAGAAAGTCAAGGCAGCTTTGCAAGGTATGTGAGACCGAATAAGAACAAACAGGAGGGAGACAGCAGGGGCCACAGGACCTAGCTGCTCACTTGGGCACGCTCCGGGCCTCTCTCTGTCCTTCAGGTGTCCCCCATGCCCACACTGCAAACACCGGGCCAAGGTCTCCAGAGCGGGGTGTGACATCAGGACTCCCAGACAAGCTGAACCGGGTGGATCCAATCACAGACATGGGGAGATCTGATAGTGGTAGCTGCGGTAACAAAGCAGGCTGAGGGGCAGGGTGGGAGACGAGATAAAAAGGCCGGGTGCACAGATGCAGAAATGGACTCATTCGCAGAATTCTCTCCACCGTGTTAAAAAAGGCTTCATAGAAGATGGATTTTTTGGCAAGGAGGACGTTTTTATTAGTTTTGTTTTATTATTTGTTTATTTTTTGGTACCGGGAATCAAACTTCGGACCTCACGCTTGCCGGGCAGATGTGATTCCACTAAGCTATATTCCCGGTCTAGTTTTGTTTTATTTTTGTTTTGTTTTTCGCGGTGCTGGGAATCAAACCAGGGCCTCACAGACGCTAGGCAAGGGCTCTACCACTGAGCTACACCCCCAGACTTGGAAGGGACATTTTGGATGAAAGGAGAGGACGGACACTTCCCATACTCCGGAGTTACACCCATAATCCTGCAGTGCTCTGGCTTCTCTTTCTGGGAAGGGAGGCCCTTCACCGACCCTGCACTCCAATCTGTGCTGAGCACAAATTTCATACGCAGGGAGTAGGGCCAGGTATCAGTGGCACTGATGACCTGGAGGTCAAAATCCCTGTGAGTTTCTTGCTTCGTCAATAATTAAGCTGGAAGACCTGGTACCCTGTTCTTGCATTTCAAATGTAGACTATCGGTATGAAAATAATTTCAGGAGCAACACAAGAAGACGAAACATTTTCTGAGGACAGATCCCCAATTCTTTCTTTTATTTCAGTGAACATCTGTGAGTCCCAAATTGTTTGGCAAGCTTTTCACCTGCGAATTTGGCAGATCTGAAGGACTGGCTACAGAGAGAAGGATGGAGCCCGATTCTGCCACTGTGATCCTTTGCGAGACATTTGCGAGGAAAGACAGTAGTTTCTCTTCTGCTGGCTGAGGCCTCACAGGTTGGAATCCTCTGCAGGGAGGTCTCACGTAGAGGCGAGTGCTATGTGGCAGACGTCCTGGGGACGCTGCCATCTCCGTGTACCCAAAGCCTGACACTAGCCAGCCCAGAGGGTGCGGAGCACCACAGGCCTGAGTAGGTGGTCCTTTTCAAACAGTCACTGGAAAAGCTCTTGCAGTCCTTAGGTGGGTCTAATGAACCACACAAGGCTGGAACTTGGAGTTGTTTCCAGAGGCAGTCACATGCCCTTTCCTCAGATCTGGGGACAAAAGTGCCTTCCAAGAGGTGGACCTGAGAATCTGATACCACAGGGCATGGTGCTAGGCTCTACCACGAAGGGTGGCTGCCACCAGTAAGTCTTCCCAGGCAAATGACACCACTTTGTGGTCACCTCTCAAGGTCTTCCAGACCACAGAGCCGACCACGACCAGGTCCAGCTGGGAGGAAACTGAGCACAGCCACCCACACGACCTTAGCCGGTCGCCTGGCCAGAAAGGAAGAGGCTCACGGGCAAAGCCACCACAGATCTCCCGTGCATCTGATTCCAAGAGCGTGTCGACCAAGCTGTGGAAGTGTCTCTTCGTTAATTTGCATTAATATCAGCGTTGGAAGGGCAAAATCTCAAGATGCATTACAACTTCCACTCTGATCCTTTGCAAACTTTGCAGCATATATATTGCTGAGGTAGCTCTAGTTATAGGATCAGAAGAGGGCTTGCTCCTGTTGAGGTTCCGATAGACCAAATATGGCATCTAATTTGTTCCCATTAGTCACTTGTGCAAATGTCCTCCGATGCCGGAGGACACAGTAGCCTGTACCAGCATCATCTGCTGGCACTTTCAAGCGAAAGAGAGGCAGAGTTCAGGGCAAAGAAGGCAGTTTATTATAAATTTGCCACTTGGGTTTATTTGGAGAAGTGATTTTCTAATGTTAGACCCCTTTGCCTCCAGAACCCAAAGCATGGTACTTCATTTTGTGATTTTCCAGGTTTGGCCATATACCAGTTGGAGCCCCGGATGGTCAGGTTCTCCCAGATCCAAGGAGCTGGCAGTGGGAACGTTAGGTCATAAGCAAAAAACACAGCGCTGACGCCTGAAGAAGAGGGAAGGGACAGCGGTCAGAAAAGGTAATAGGTGCCCCGATGGGGGCCAGAGACCGAGAGGGCTCACTCCTAACCTCATCCCCAACCTCCCCGAGGTAGACTGCTCTGCAGGATCAGAAGACACAGCTCTGTCCGCTCATTGGTTCATTAAGCTGTCGCCCATCGAGGACTGTCTCAGGGCAGGGCCAGAGTTCCCGGACTAAAAACTGCTGAGATATGCGT